TTCCCAGAATTCTCCTTGTCTGCTCACCCCACCTATACTATACTTCCTGCCTGACTACTGGTCAATCAGTGTTTTATTTATCAACCAATCAGAGCAACACATATTCACAGCATATAGAATGATATCCCACAGCAGAGAATGATTGAGGAAGTCACCTGACATTGCACTCTGACCTTCACATGCATATGTACCAGTACATATATGTATACACATACAAAAATAAAAGCGTGACAAAACCTGTGTTTTTAAAAGTATATTAAAAATCTCTTCTTAAGAAATTCCAGTCAGTGATGGTGGCACACGCCTTTAGTCCCAGCACTCAGGAGGCAGAGGCAGGCAGATCTCTGTGAGTTTGAGGCCAGCCCAGTCTACAGAGCAAGTTCCAGGACAGCCAGGGTTACACAGAGAAACCCTGTCTCAAAAAAAAGAAAAAAGAAAGAAAGAAAGAAAGGAAGGAAGGAAGGAAGGAAGGAAGGAAGGAAGGAAGGAAGGAAGGAAGAAAGAGAGGGAAAGGAAAGGAAATTCCAACTTTGCTTCATAATATATAAATAAGTAAGTAAATGAATGAATAAATAGCTATGTATGGTGGCACACTACTATAATCCTTGCACTTAGGAGGCAGAAAGCTTGTGAATTTAAGGTTTGCTTGAACTGTGTCCTGAGATCTTGTCTCAAAAAAAATAAATAAATAAAAGAGAGAGAACTGGGGGTATAGCTCAGAGACAGAGTACTTGCCTGGTATGTGCAAGGTGCTGGGTTCCATCCCCAGCACTGTAAAAACAATTCTTGAAAAGGAAAGAATAGGACCACTATTTGAATATAAAATTTTAAATGAAAGAGTTAAAAAAAAGAGAGGCACTTGTGAGAAAGTAAGCTACACCCAAGAACATGGTTGTGGGCTTCTCAAGGAAGAGTTGCCAAGGTAAGATTATTGTATTTAGGTCATGAGAAATAGTAGTTAGTATAGAGTTAGCACCTATGTTTGTATTTAATAAACATTATTTTTCTACTTCTGGCTTCAAAAATGTGTTCTCAGGCAGCATTATGAATTCCCATGTATTCTAACCTGGAGTATGACTGAGACAGAAGCAATCTGAGAGATTGCATAATACACAGGCAAACATTAAAACCTGGAAAGATGATGTGCAAATCAGTGGACAATTTTCAATTAGATCCTATATTATATTATATTATATTATATTATATTATATTATATTATATTATATTATTATTATTATTATTATTATTATATTATTCCCATGGTGTGTCCCTTCAACTATGCAATGTACTTTTCACTATGTCTAATGTAGTCCATAGTACTGAGCTCCTTATTAAATTTATCAAGGAAGTAGGAGAAATAGATTGATATATGCTCAGGAGCAACACGTCTAAATCCACGATGTTCATATACCAGAGTTGCTCAGATTCTTCCACAGCTCCATGCAAATTTCTTTGTTCTCTTTAGCAACTGTACATATTCCTGGTTTCGTTTCTATATAAAGTAGTTCATATGTACAAAGAGTTCAGTGTTTGACTTACATTCAACATAAAGAACGTGAAAATTGTTTTACCTTAAAGGAAATATAAATGACTGCACAAATGTCAAGTGGCTTGTGACGGGTACTGTAAAAATACAGATACTTAGCTGGTAGATTTGAGGAGGGGGGAATAGAGATTTATACCACCTAGGATGGTCTCAAACTCCCTATGTACCCTAGAATAACCTTGAATTTCTGATCCTCCTGTCTCTACCTCCTGAGTGCTGGGATTACAGGCATATATTACCATTCACAGTTTTATAGAAACTCAAGGACTGGACCCAGGACTTCATGCATGGTAGGCAAATACTCCACAAATTAATCTATATCTTCAGCCCTCCAGCAAATTTTAAAATGTGTCTTGGGCTTCATCATAAAGGCCTGTGACATCAGCTCTTTGGAAGGCTGCAGCAAGAGGATCACAAGCTCAAAGACTACTTGAGCTACAGTGTAAGTTCAAAGCCAGTCTGGATAATTTAGTGAGATCCTATCTCAGAATAAAAAATAAAAAGGGGGCTCGGGATATATTAATAAATTAATGATGGAGTACTTATCTAGCAAGCATTAAGTCCCAAAATACATTCCTCTTTACGATATACACACACTAAAATTAATACAATTAAATAAGGTCCAGAGAAATGGCTCACCTGCTAAAGACACTTGCTGCTAAGCCAAGGATCTGAATTTAATTCCCAGAGCCCACATGGTGCTAGGAGAGATGCTACTCCCCCAAGCCATCCTGACTGCTGCCATGGTATGCATGCCCATAAGCACATAAACACAGAGAAAATAGCCTTTCAAATGTAATAATAAGTAAAAAAATTAGTAATCAATATTTAAGAGCATTTGACTCTAGAGCTTGGGATCCAGTTGTAGACCTTGTACTTGGCATGCATAAAGCCTTGGTTCAGTTTTTACCAATGCAAAAATCAATAGGAATGTAAAGATACACTGCACTACAACGAAACAGAATTTCATGAGCTTTTGTACTAAGTGTACTACTTTTGATAGAGGTAAAGCACTTGCCTAGCATGTAGCCCTGGTTTAGGACCACATTACCAAGAAAAAAGACAAAAATACTCATCAGCCTTTAAATGATTGGTGATGTGATCTTAGATAAGATTGTTGATATTTTTTGCAAGGTGTGTCTCCCAGCACTTGGGGAGACAGAGGATGGAGGAGAATCGCTGTAAGTACAAGCCTAGCCAGAACTATAATGGTGAGATCCTGTCTCAGATACAAACTTCCAAACAAAAGTGTGGACATAAAACAGTTAATATTTTAGTGGTTGCCCAAAATTAACTGCTATGAGTAACGCTTCATTCACACTTCAGAAAAAAATCCAAAATATGTACTGCAATCTAGAAGGACATGTGTAACCCACTGAATAACCTTCTCTCTTTCCCCTTTGCTCGATTTGCTGAAGGCATGCTGGATCTCCACTGTTCCAAGAGCATACTGCATGTGCATCTGCATCACACTCTGTGGTGGCTCTTTCCCCTACTTGAAATCTCTTACTCCAGATGTCTGCCTTTGCCTTACACAAGTCTATATTCAAATAGAACCTTAGTGCAAAGGCCTTCCTTAACCATTCTGTATAAACAGCAGCCTCCACAATGTCATTAAAATCCAGAGTTACTCAACTTCAGCGCTGTTTATATTTTGAGCTGCAGCATTTTGTGTTGCCTAATGGCATAAGGGTGTCGTATGTGCTGTAGGAGATTTCACGGCATCTTTGGACTCTACCCACTGGGTGCCAGGAGCATCTCCTCTTTCAGATGTGGCAATCAGGAATGTCTTCAACCTGAGCTGGGTGTTGGGGTTTATGACTGTAATCCCAGCTCATATACGGCTGAGGCGGGAAGATAGATCACCACAAGTCATTGTAAGGTCTAGACTAGCCAGGGTACCATTGTAAGACCCTGTCTCACAAGCAGTGCAAAATTGTCCAGATGTTTCTGAATTTCTCAGTGGAGGGTGGGGCAAATAGCTGCTGGTCTAATCCTCTTCTCTGCCTCAAATATCCCTTATGTAAATTATATATACATTGTTATATTGTGTTGTGTCTTACAGTCACACTTGCTGTTCTATGTATGTATTCTGGTCAGAATGTGGGATTCAAAAGTGCAAGGCATCCTGTGACATCTTTGGTTCCAAGAACAATAGTTGGCAGGGCTTTTTGTTATTCTTGATTTAGTTTATGAGACAGGGCTGTAGCCCTGGCTGTTCTAGAGCCCACCCTGTACACCAGGCTGACTTTGAACTCACAGAAATCAACCTACTTCTGCCTCCCGAGTGCTGGGATTAAACATGAATACCACTTCACGCTGCCTTGGCGGAACTTTTAAGTAAATTCCCTAGTCATAAAACATTTCTGTAAATACTCGAGTAGCATGGTCATCTTGGGATATTTGCTTATTTGCAGATTATTTTCTTCCTTTAGATTTCATTTTACGTACTTGATATTTCTGGTAAGTAAAAATTTATTCACACACATATGCGTACATATATGCATACATGTGCCTGCTTTTTCAAAAAGCTGACTTGTAGTCATCTGTTGGTGGCTTTGCCTCCATTTTTCATAGTTTTGAATAAGCATTATTCATTTATCAGCATTTTGCATATTCTAATTAAAATTGTAATAGCCCAAAAATAAAAATGACATTTATAAAATCATTTTAAACATCTGCTTTACTCAGTACTGCATTTATTCTTGTAAACTCTCTATTGTCTTAGATTAACACTTGTTTACATTAACTAAAAAAACTTGGCCTGAAAGCAGTTGCTTGATATCAGATGTGCTTTAAGACAGAATCAGTACTATATCATAAAACTTCTTTTGCAAAAAGAAAAAATAGCCGGGCGGTGGTGGCGCACGCCTTTAATCCCAGCACTCGGGAGGCAGGGCCAGGCGGATCTCTGTGAGTTTGAGGCCAGCCTGGGCTACCAAGTGAGTTCCAGGACAGGTGCAAAGCTACACAGAGAAACCCTGTCTCAAAAAACCAAAAAAAAAAAAAAAAAAAAAAAAGAAAAAATAAGGATAAAATTCCTGCATAGGTACAGCAGAAATTATGCTATACTATGACAAAATTTTGTTGGTATATAAAGTACTGTTTTTAAGATTCCTCTCGGTTCTATGGTTTAATAATAGCTTAATTAACCAGAAAGTATACTTTTTTTTATCATCAGAGACGCTATTTTTAAGTAAAGCTTTGTACACATTGTTTAAAATACAAGATACATGATATAAACAAAACATTTCCCTGTCAGTTAAAATATACATTTCCCTTCCAAACATCCTTACATTCCAAATGATAAAAAAAATTGTAATTAGACAAACTTGTGAAGTGATAATATTCTTTTTATATATTAGTCTTACAAATTTATTTCTAATCTTTTTTCCTGTTTTATCTTTTTGGTTTTTTTCCCCCTTTGGCTGGTTTTTCCTTCCTTTCCACAAAGATCTCAACAGCAATGGATTCATTTGCGACTATGAACTTCATGAGCTTTTCAAGGAAGCCAATATGCCACTGCCAGGATATAAAGTGAGAGAAATTATTCAAAAACTCATGCTGGATGGTGACAGAAACAAAGATGGGAAGATAAGTTTTAATGAATTTGTTTATGTAAGTATGGAGAAAATCTGTGATTATTAAAAGTCATTGTTGTTCCATTGTCTAGTGGGAGTCTTAAAAATATAAATACTATTGTATTGAATAGTTAAATATAATCATGTTAATACTCTGATACCGAGTAACATTTTTGTCATTCTGTTCAGAATACTTAACAAAATGTCAATAAAAGGTCCATTGACAGAAACAAAGATATAACACAGTGCTCACAGTGGGCAGAAACAATCTCCTTCAGGGGCATCATTAGAGGGCATCTTTCAAGATGCTAAATGACATCTTTGAAGCATTCTTTCTCTCCCCCATGGAGAACAGTGTGCTTCACAAGTTTAATGATAGCATATGACTAAATCTTCGAAGCTTCCTAAGCTGAACTTTCTGATTAAAAGATGTTTTCTAAGCCCTGTACCAGTAGTATTTAACTGTACCATTTTCTCCAGGGCGATCATCTTGATAAATAAAAGCATATCCTTTCCGTCTGTTGGAAGAGGCATTTGCAATTTTTGTTTTCTTGTCTAGTGTCATCAAATAGTCCTCCAGGTTCTTGGCTGATTTCGTAACTCTTCTCCCCCGTAAGCATTTAGCTCAGTGCCTGCAGCATGTGTGACAGGCACGTGGTTCTTTATCAAGATCTAACTATTTTAGCTGCCAGCAATTACAGTCCCGATTTTATTGACTTACAGATTTTCAGTCTAGATTTGTTAACAGATTATTGCAAGATGTCTTTTTAAAGAGCTGTTGCTTCTTCTCTCTGATAAGAACACCCTTAAGGGGCTGGAGAAATGGCTCAACAGTTAAAAGTACTGGTTGCTTTTCCAGAGGACCTGGGCTTAACTTCCAGTCCTACATGGCAGCTCACAACTGTTTGTAATTCCAGTTCCACAGGATCCGACACCCTCTTCTGGCTTCCTCAGGCACTGCGCATAAGTGGGCCGCAGAAATACATGTATTGTAAACATAAAAATTCATTTAAAATAGAACACCCTAGGGGCATGGTGGTACATACCTATAATCACAGCAGAAGCAGGTAGACCTCAGTGATTTCAAGGCCAGCTTGGTTTACATAGCAAATTCCAGGCCACCCATGGCTGCAAAGTAAGACCCTGCCTCAAAAAACAAATATACATGTTTATGTTTTTTGTTTGGGTGAGGGTTTGTTTTGTTTTTGTTTTTGTTTTTGAGACAGTCTAACTTTAAAATCATGGTCATCCTGCCTTAGCCTCCAGAGAGCTGAGGGAAAAAGGCATATACTACTTACCTGGCCTACCCTAAGATTTTATGGATATTACTATTTATTTACTCATTTACTTGGTTTTGTTTTTCAAGATAGGGTTTCTCTGTGTAACAGCCCTGGTTGTCCTGGAACTTGCTTTGTAGAACAGGCTGGCCTCAAACTCATAGATATCCACCTGCCTCTACCTCCCGAGTGCTGGGACTAAAGGCTTGTGCCAACACTACCCAGCTCATTTACTTGGTTTTTAAGACTACCTTTGGCTGTGTGGCTAAGACTGGCATCTAATTTGTGATCCCTCCTGCCTCAGAATCATTCCCAGTGCTGAGATTATAGCAGTATACTATACTGCCTGAGTATTTTTTATTACTTTAAGCCTGAGTTTGACTAGATCTTATTAGGCATTCTCTTCAATATCCGCAAACTAGTAATTAGTGCTTAATATTTGTCATCAAGATCCAACCCGCCTGTCCTCCTTTTCTATGCTTTATCTTGGCACCAAGATAGCTGCTATTAGAACATATGCTCTCATGAGCTACCATGACTCATGAATTTGACAATATGACAAGTGAATTCCAGACATGTTCCCTCTGATTAGAACTAACTCAAAGAAAACACCATAGGCTCAGAAACAAATAGACTACGTGGTGGGGGAGGGGAGGTCTCTACTGTTTGAAAACTAGAAGCTCATGTCATTATTATCATTACAAGGTCTTCCCATTTTCCCTTTGAAAAACTGATTTCCTCCCATCCTTTCTGTCTCCAGTTCTGGCCAAAGTCTTTTGCTTTGAATTCTGTGTTCAATAGTAAGTTACGAACGGTTTCTGACTTGAGCACTTGCATGGCTCCTTGCGTAACTTGCATGGGTCGCTGTGAACTGAAGGCAAGCCAGAGCAGTAGTGAGCTATGCTCAGTTGCTTTTGATACAACTTACAGCCGAGAATCTTTGTATCTACTAGAAAGCAGCAGCCTGAGGCATTAGGATTTGTAGTCTAACCGGTACTGTTGAAGACAAATTTATAAATGTTTCTACAAAGAAAATGATCTTGGGCACACTTTGTGTGTTCTGAAACACTGTACTTTCCACACATCCTTTAGTGGCTTTCAAACAATAAGGTGAAATTGTCTTAGTAAGTTCTTTAAAATGATTTGGGCAACAGTGGGGATTTTCTTGAACAAAATATCAAGGAAAAAACATTTTAGGTCAAAGTAATGTTTTAGAAGTAGAAGGGTTTACACTCACTTTTGTTTGAGAGGGGATCACTCTCCATAGCCCCGGCTGTCCTGGAACAGACTATGTTGACCAGGCTATTCAAAAACTCACAGAGGTCTGCCTGCTTCGGCCTCGAGAGCTAGAATTAAAAGTGTGAACACTCTACCCTTCTTCAACTTAAAACAAGAAAATGACTTGACCAGCATTGTCCAGAGGGCGAGTAGCCTTTTCTAGTTAGTCCCTACTAATCAAGAAACTCAAACTGGGGCCGAGACAAATAGCTCAGCAACACTGGCTGCTCTTCCAAAAGTCCTTGATTTGATTTCCAGCACCCACGGCAGCTCACAAACATCTGTGACTCCAGTTCCAGGGGATCCCATGCCCTCTTCTGGTACACATATGTGGTACACAGACATACCTGCAGGGAAAACACCCATACACATAAAGTAGTAATGTTTTCAAACTTGGACTATGATGGTAAAGTAACCCACATAAACTATAAAAATGCTGCTGCCATGTCACAGATTTAACACCTTGCAATTTATCGAAGAAAATTGGACTATGGCTTAACTACCCAAGAAATAGAGACTGTAATTTTTGTCAGCTATTAGCATAAGGAAAGAGAAAGAACGTAGTTAGTTTCACATGCTAGGTTTGGGGGGTTCATGTGAATTTGAGTTTAAAGGAGTATTCAGTGTAAACTAAGGACCAACAAAACCAGTTTCTATTAATTTTCAAGAGTATATATAGGACAGAAAAGGCTCTGAATATTGTATATAAACTTCAAAGGCAGAACTATAATTAATTATTTGTTTTCATTTTAAGTATTACAAACTGAAGTTAGTGGTTTTATTTGTTTGTTCATTTTTTAGTTTTTCAAGACAGGGTTTTTCTGTGTAGCCCTGGCTATCCTGGAATTCCCTCTGAGGAAGGAACCCTGAACTCAGAGAGCTACCTGCCTCTACCTCCCTCCCCAGTGCTGGGATTAAATGTGTGTGCTACCATGCTGTACTATTGGAGTTTTTTTAATGTTGATATTTTTTCCTATCCTGACTTTTTTTTTCTTGTGCTACAGATTAAACCTGGGCCTTGCATGTGCTAGGTAAATGCTGTACCACTGAGCCATATACCAAGAATACTAGGTTTTTATACTTATAAACTAACACAATTATTTTCTTCCATTGTGAAAGGCTGATGGGGCAATATATTTTTAAACAGAGATGATTGTGTTAATTTCTTATTTTCACAATGAGAAACTTGCTTTTACATTGTGGTAATAAATCCTTAATCTTTTGCCAATAGAATTCACCAACAAGATTAATCATTTAAAACTAGCAAAGTACTTAGAACAATGCTAGGCATGGAATAAATGCTCCATAGCTGTTAGTGGTTGAAATAATTATTTCTATTATTATTGATTGATTCCTTTGAGCCAGGGTCTCACCAAGTTACCCAGGCTTGGCAAACCTCAAGGGCTCAATGATTCTCTTCTGCTCAACCTTTGTGACAGCTGTGGGGCTCCAGGCCCCCTTGTACTCTGATTTTCTCCTATTTAAAATCAAAGTAGGGGGCTGAAGAGATGGTGCAGAGGTTAAGAACACTGACTGCTCTTCCAGAGGACCCAGGTTAAATTCCCAGCACCCACATGGCAGCTCACAACTGTCTGTAATTCCGGTTCCAAGGGACCCAACACCCATGGTAAAACACACACACACACACACACACACACACACACACACACACACACACATCAAAGGTAGTAATGTTCTTTTCCAACTTGAGCCCTTCAACAATTTCCAGAAGAAGGAAGAATTCAAAAATTCAAACCTGCTATATTGGAAACAAGTGCCACCCTGGAAGCAGTCAATATTTTCTACAATTCTCTCTGAAATCTTTCCTTCTTAAGTCACATGCCTCTGCATTGTTTTGGGTTGGCTGCTAGGCCTTTGCAGGGCTCACTTTGGGGTCCAAAGAACTTAAGTGGCTGCTGAGAGTTGAAGCTTAGGAAAGGAAGTAAGAGCCACAGGTGCCGCCAAAGAGACTGAAAAGGATGTATAGGATGGGAATGGCTGTTGTCTTCTGAGCACAGTACCCAAGGGATTTGTCTCCAAATGATAAAGCAAGTGAACTCATTAGGATCACAACTCAGCCTTGAAAATATCCATTGAGAAGACTAGTACAGTCTTGTGCTAGCTCTGATTTCCAAGATTCCTGTAAAATCAAAGCCTTTACTCAAATGGCTTTATCATCCATCAGTGTCTCTGCTGAAGTAGAAAGGAAAATGCAGATTTTTTCTTGTAGTGAACCAATCTGATGTATGAATTTTCAATTCTCTTAATTTAAAAAAAAACAGTTTTACTCTAAGAGTAAATATTATGGGACCTAATTTGAGGTTGGCTGAAATAATCTGTTTAGAAATATTTGGAAGGTAGGATTACAAATATAGCTCAGTGGTAAACATGGACTCAGTCCTCAGCACCACACACCAAAAAAGACACTTAACAAATTTAATTGGACTCTCCACATCATTCCCAAGCAACGTTTCCCAGAGCCATGAGAGAATAGGGTATTTTACCATGAAGATATTTTTAATTGAATTATTCCACTTTTCCATAACGTATATAAATTTGAATCCTTCAGCTGGAATCATGATCATTTAAACAACTTAATTTTTAGAAGGCTGCAGTGCTTGAAGTAAATGCACACACAACAGGAAAAACAGCTTTTCCTGTCTATTTCTGAAGCTGTAACATGTTTTGGTCTTGCAGTGATGTGTGGTATGCCTGGTATGAGGAAATAAATGCACACCTGTCCGATTTTCACATATTCCACAATTTTTTTTAACTAGAGTGGAGTTCACTTAGGAAGGTTGACTTTTCAGTGAGCAGACACTCTTTTCTTTTTTCTTCACTTTGTTTTGTTTTGTTTTGTTTGAGCTAGGGTCTCATTCTGTAAACCAGGATGGCTTTGAACTCCTGGCAATCCTCCTGCTTTAATATCCTGAGTGCAGGGATTACAGATGTGAGCCACCATGGCCGACGATTTTTGTTTTGTTTTTTTTGAGACAGGAGCTCATTATATGGCCCATGCACTCCTGGATCTCTATTTTCCAGGCTGGCCTGGAACTCATAGCAACCCTCTTGCATCAACATCCCCATGTGCTGAGATTGCAGGTGTCTGTCACTATTGTTATTAGTTTATTAGTTTTTTATTTTTCATGGGTGGGTGTATTTTATTTGCATGTACATGTGCATATTATGTGCATGCTTGGTGCCTGCAGAGGTTTGGGGGGAGAATAAAAGGAATCTTATCCTGTAGAACTGGAGTTGCTGATGGTTGTGAGCCACCATGTGGGTGCAGAGAATTGAACCCAAATCCCCTGGAAAGTCAGCCAGTGCTCTAAAGATTTGTTTTCATTTTTCAGTGTGTGTGTGTGTGTGTGTGTGTGTGTGTGTGTGTGTGTGTGTGTGTGTGTGTGCGTGCGCGTGCGCGTGCCTGTGCACATGTGAATACAGGCACCCACAGAGTCCAGAAGAAGGTATCAGACCCCCCTGGAGCTGGAGTTACAGGCTGTTGTGAACCACCTAATGTGGTTCTGGAAATGGAACTTGAGTCCTCTGGAAGAATACCAAATGCGCTTAACCACAGAGTCATTTCTCCACCCCCCAGCAGATGTATTCTAAAAAGGGAAGGGACAGTATTCCACTAACCCATGAATTAGACTTTACTATGTATTCAGGGACCCATTCTGTTATAATCACACATATATTCATCCATCTTAAAATCTTTTCATAAAACTGTAGATATAGCATAAAATTTCAACTTTTGAGGACACATCATCAAAAATAGAGAAAGTAGTTGGGCATGGTGGCACACAGCTTTAACCCCAGCATTCAGGAGGCAGAGGCAGGTGATTTCTGAGTTCAAGACCAGCCTGGTATACAAAGTGAGTTCCAGGATAGCCAGAGCTACACAGAGAAACCCTATTTTGAAAATCTACCTGCTCCCAGGAAAAAAAAAAATAGAGGAAGCTTGATTTTGTAAAGCTGATTGCATAGTATTTTCCTAAATAAAAGCATGTTTGTAGAACCAAAGACAGTTGGGATTTAAGAATGGTAGTGGGATGATATGACTGTGAACATCAATGACAATAACCATTACAAAAAGCCCCTTTCTTGCTGGGCTTGGTGGCACATTCCTCTAATCCTAGCACTTGGGAGGCAGAGGCAGACTTATCAAACAAACAAAGTCCCTTTCTTTAAGTAGACCAATTACAAAAAGGGCATCTCTTGGAAAGACTGATTCTGAAAAGTGTCTTGCCTAAAGCTTGGCTAGTATTGCATGGATTAGATTGGTCCAGTCTGATCTGCTACATATTGTAAACCTCAGCTAGCTAGAGATGACCTCCCCCAGGGAGGAGAATGAGAGTCAGCAGCCCTAAAAGCCCAAACATATGTTGTATTTTGTTCAGCAATGTTTTGTTAAGTTGTTCCACTTAAAGGGAGGTCCTAAAGGCATTTAGAGAAAGTTTTATGAGCCTGAGACATGGCTCAGTGGGTAAAGCCCTTGCTTCACAAGCCTGCTGAAATTTGATCTATCAGAATGCATGTAAAGGTGGAAGGTGAGAACTAACTCCTCAGAGCTGTCCTGTGACTTCCACATGTGTGTCCCTCCCGCTCAGAAAGTTGCCAGACTTGTCCCTAACTGACAGTGACTAATTTAGGCATGCACATTGGTAAACAGACGAAAAATTTGGGGTGAGGCAAATTTGAGAATTTCTGAAGTATAGAGATGCTCATTCATTCACATTATTAAACCAGGAAACTAAGCTTACACTCTTCTGCCCTGTTTTTGTGCAATTAGAACATAAAAGTTAGCTTGTTATCTATGTTCTTTGGTGAGAAGAGGAGCTGAACTCAAATGCCCAAATAGGACAACCACTAAAAAGCCTTTTATGTGTCTTTTCTTCTCCTTTGCCTCCTCCTCCTCCCCCTCCCCTTCTTCTTCTTCTTCCCCTTCCTTTTCCTCTGCCCCTTCTCCTCCTCCTCCTTCTTCCCCTTCCCCTTCCCCTTCTCCTCCTCCTCCTTCTTCCGCCTCCCCCTCCCTCTCCTCCTCCTCCTCCTCCTCCTCCTCCTCCTCCTCCTCCTCCTCTTCTTCTTCTTCTTCTTCTTCTTCTTCTTCTTCTTCTTCTTCTTCTTCTTCTCTTCTTCTTTTCTTCTTCTCATGACTGACGTCAAAACCTGGACTTGTGTGTACAAGGCAAGTGCTCTGCCACTGACCCATCTTCACAGCTCTGAATTCACTTTTTTGTTTGTTTGTTTGGTTTGATTTGGTTTTTTTCACAGCTGTGAAGCCCTGGCTATCCTGGAACTCACACTGTAGACCAGGCTGTCCTCAAACTCAGAAATCCACCTGCCTCTGCCTCCCAAGTGCTGGCATTAAGGGTGTGCCCCACCACCACCAGGCTAACTTCACTTTTTTAAAATTTTTATTTTTACAGAAGGTTTCATTGTGTTGCCCACCTTGTGAACCTGCAATCCTTCTGCATCACACCAGCTCTTCTTTTTTAATTAGTGTCTACACCCTTATTCTCAATCCCCTCCTTCTTTATATAAAGTCTTTCAATGGAGCCCTGGCTAGCCTAGAACTCTCTATGTAGACCCAGCTAGTCTCAAACTTGTACAGATCCTCTTACCTCTGCCTCCTCAGTGCTATGATTACAAATGTGTGCCACCATGCCCTGCCTTTATTGTCTCCATTCTTTCTTGCTTTTTTTTTTGAATAGTTTATTGAGTTGCCACAGTAGAGCAGTAGTCTGTGTGCTATTGACAATATTGCCGCTTAGTACTTATTGTTCTTGATATTTATCTATATCACCCACATAACAAAATTTTTGTTTATTATTCTGTTGCTTTTGACTGAGTGAACTACTGAGCTACCACATTCTACCACAAAACAGTTTTTTTGGATTGAGTTATAAATCTTTATCTGTATGCTAAGAACTGTAGTTAAAGAAGGGGAAGTCATCTAAGAACAAAGCCATGCTTCACAATGGAAAACTAGCCGATTTACTCACACCTTGGAACCACACTGTTTTTTAACTTAAAGTGGATTCAATGCATGCAGCACTGAATGTGTTTGGCAAGTGTGTGCAATTGATGCTTCATCTTTAGTAGCAGTATTGTAGCATTGCAAAAACCCAAGCCAGTTTCCCTCTTACCCCTCACTGCCTGTGGAGAACACTATAGGTGATGGCCAGGGGGAAAGGAGCTAAATTTGCTTATTCTTGTGCTCGCTTGAAAACTGTGAACCAACAAAACTGTTTTAATTGATAGATTTTCCAAGAGGTAAAGAGCAGTGATATTGCTAAAACCTTCCGAAAAGCCATCAACAGGAAAGAAGGGATTTGTGCTCTGGGAGGAACGTCAGAGTTGTCCAGTGAAGGAACACAGCATTCCTACTCAGGTAATTAATGGCATGGATGTGCTTAGGTTACTACAGTGCATGGAGCATGTACATACTGTAATTCCCTAAAAAAGCTTGTCCCTCTAATTAAATATACTAAGTAGTCTTGGTGACATAATTGGTCTTGGGTGAGATATAAAGTCCTGATAGATACTGGTAGCTTGTAAGACACATAGTGAAATCTGTGTTATGATAGTCTTTATTACAGTAGACTTATTCAATAATAAAAATATTTTTAAATATTTTGTAACTTTATTTTTAAATATTTTGTAACTCCCCTAAGGATTGGTTAACCTGTTCTTTTTGTTCTTACTTATTTTGTAATTGATTCCTAACAGCCACTGTGTTACTTCCAAGTGTCCGAAGAGTACGGCCACATATTTGTGATGCATTATTATAGCAGGACTATGCTATACTACTATATTATAATACTACTATATTATAGTAGGTTTGAGGGCCAGATGATTACCAGAGAGTTAATTAACCTGATATGAACTGATTTCTTGTACCTTAACATAATTTTAGAGGAAGAAAAATACGCTTTCGTTAACTGGATAAACAAAGCTTTGGAAAATGATCCCGATTGCAGACACGTTATACCCATGAACCCGAATACTGATGACCTGTTCAAAGCAGTTGGTGATGGAATTGTGCTCTGGTAGGATGTCAGTTTGTTTTGTATCCAGATTTCCAAAGATAGCTTCCACCGAATGAATGTATTTTGTTGTTTGATATCAGGAAAGAAAGAGAGAGGACAATTTCCCGGGTTTTGTCCTTTTCATTTAATATCTAAAGCTGTCTGTAAAAGTAAAACTCAATCATGAAGTGGAGACCTCTTTAGAAGGTAGAACTCTCAGCTTCCAATTTCTCCTCATCACTGAGCAAGCAGAACATTACAACTTTGTCAGACTTCAGTATGTCACTATCTATTTATTCTGAAGTCCAGTGGCTTCCAAAGGGAAAAAAAGAGGCTAGCCTTCAGTTCTCATTCTTCAGTGACCTAATTCTGAACAACCCTTTTGTCACTGTGGCGGCCCCAGAGCCAGCAGTATCTTAGCAGAAATGATGGAAGATTCTCAACACTGTCCATTGCAGTTCCTGGTCCCAGAGGCAGTTTTGCACAATGCTCCAAAATATGTTCCCTAAGAAGTTCTGGGGTTCGTTTTTTCTTTTTCTTTTTCTCTTTTGGTTTTTCAAGACAGGGTTACTCTGTGTAGCCTTGGCTGTCCTGGAACTCGATCTGTAGATCAGGCTGGCCTCACAGAGATCTGCCTGCCTCTCCCTCTACTAGGATTAAAGGCGTGTGCCACCACAGCCTGGCCCGGCCAAGTTCTGGGTTTCTGTGCAAGCCTTCACCCTCTGTAACTGTGTTGCTGAAGTCCAGATAGTCAAACCCTTTACATTTCTGTTTCCACTGTGATCTTCATAGTATCATGCAATTTGAGCACCCCTAATGCAAAAATCCAAAAATCTGAAACTCTTGTTTTATTTTTGTTTTTATTATCATATGCTAGTTATACGTGATAATGGGTTTCATTATGACCTTTTCATATATATATATATATATATATATATATATATATATATATATATATATATATATATATATATATAATTTTGATCACAGTCCTTCCTACACGTTGCCCTTTCCTGTCCTGGCCCTCTCCCACTCCTCCTGATCCCCTTCTGCTTCCCATCTCACCCCCTTTTACTTTCTTGTCTTGTTTTTTTCCGTGACCCAATGAGTTCCATCAGGCTTACTTATAGGAGCAAGGGTTAGAGGCTAGTTACAGGAGCACTGGAAACTTTCTAAATTCTGATAATGACGCCACAGTGGAATACTCCACAGCCAGCCTGAGGTGACAAGTGGTAGTCAAAGCACAGGTACTCCCAAAATACTGCATAAAATTGCCTTCTGAGCCACGGGTATACCTCAGTGGCACAGTGTATGTCTAGCATGTTCATGGCCTTGGTTTCTAATCTCGGCACTACGCTGGGCATGGTGGCATATGCCTGTAATCCCAGCACTCAGGAGGTGGGGCAGACAGATGTCTGTGAGTTCCAGGACAGCCAGGGAGACAGAGAGATCCTGTCTCAAAAAGAAAAAAAAAACAGAAAGAGAAAGAAGAGAAAACAATAATAAAACAACATTAGCACCACAAAAAAAAGCAAAACTTATATTCAAGTTGTATGTGTGTGTGTATGCATACATACATACACATATATTTATGTACATACATATATATGTATATAGAACATGAATAAAAAAAAAGTATTCAGACTTGGTTACCACAGTGTGTCATTATATGTCTAATCTGCATTTTGGACACATATAGTTTCTGTGGTCAACATGATGAAAGTCATCTATTACATTTTGTATAATTTTTTTAGTATGTGTGTGCCTGCATGGGTTTATGTGTACCACAAGTGTGCAGGTACCTGTGGAGGCCAAAAGAAGGCATAGGATCCCCTGAAACTGGACTTACAGACAGTTGTGAGCTGTTCAGTGTGAGTGCTGGGAATCAAACCTGGGACCTCTGCAAGAGTAGTAAGTTCTCCTAACCCCTGGGCCATCTCTCCAGCCCCAAATCTACTGCATTATTTAGATTGCATGAAAGAAATTCTGGAATAAGCTTTAACATTAATGAAGATTTACAGGCTGTCGTTGTTTGAGACAGAATCTCCTGTGTCTCCAGCTAGTCTCCAGCTTGGCATGTAGTCCACAATGGACTTAACTCCAGATTCTCCTGCCTCCATGCTCCAGTGCTGGGAGTGCAAGCTTCCCCATGTCCCAGTTATATGCTTCTGGGGGACTGAACCCTCATGCACACTAGTTAAGCTCTCTAGAAAGTGAGCTACATCTCCAGACTTTATAGACTCTAAAAGTAAATCAACTTCTGTTTGTTTGTTTCAGCAAAATGATCAACCTTTCGGTTCCTGATACCATTGATGAGAGAGCAATCAACAAGAAGAAACTTACACCCTTCATCATTCAGGTGTGCCGTGTTCTCTCTGCCCTCTTGCATGACGTGGGGGTTTGAACTAGAGGTCATAGCCTCTGTGTTCTGTCTGCTCTACTTTAATTCTCTGTGAGTGAGGAATGATCATGGACATTTTATACAACGACCTGGGACTCAGAAAGGCTTGGAGAGTTTGCCAGAAGTTCACAGAGGCACAGATCCTCATTGAACTCAAAGCCCTGTGTTCCTTTTATTGCCTATTGTGTTAAGATATTGCTGAAATAAATACAATGATTTAAGCTCTTACTTAGCTGCTGTGCTTAAGGGGTAGAGCGTTTTTCTTTTCCAGCAAGTGAGTAGTAGATTAGTACAGCAAAGTTCCCTCAGGCAGGAATGTCCCTTTATGTGGGCAAATTGGTCATTTCTAGAACCTGGATGCTGCTGGACTCACATTTAGGCAATTTTAGAAAAGTAACACTATTCACATGGATATATTTACCTTGGTTACTTGCCTTTTAATTTAAAATCAACAGAATTCAAAGCAACCAAATAAAAATAAAAAGTTCACTTCCTGTAGAATTCTGCAAAAATAATAGGAATAAGGCTGAGATTTATCGCTTTGCTTTTTAATGCTGAATTCTGCAATATGTTTTCTGTGGATGTATGTGGATGAAATTAATACCTCGTATTGATTTCTTATTGTTATTTTCAGTGAAGGCAGAAGTGGTCTGGGTGGGAGAGAAAGGTCAAGAAGTGTATAATTTGGCTGTCTTGCAGGAAAACTTGAACTTGGCACTGAACTCTGCTTCTGCCATTGGGTGTCATGTTGTGAACATTGGTGCCGAAGATTTGCGGGCCGGGAAACCTCATCTGGTTTTGGGACTGCTCTGGCAGATTATTAAGATTGGCTTGTTCGCTGACATTGAATTAAGCAGGAATGAAGGTAATGGAACACAGTTGTTATTTTGAAAGATACTTATTGGTGATTTTTTTCCTTTTTCTTGCACTTAACTGAGGTGAGCAAATGGTAATTAGAATGAACACAGAGCTATTCGGGAGAACAACCCATATGCCTCTGTTCTTTAGCTGTTGCAAACATTTGCATGACTGTTCACATTTGATTTTACTATAAAGACATGGAAACACAGAGAGAGTGATGCTGGGTGTCTCCCTCAGTCTCTCTCCATCTTAAGGCTCTCTCTCTCTCTCTCTCTCTCTCTCTCTCTCTCTCTCTCTCTCTCTCTCTCTCTCTGTGTGTGTGTGTGTGTGTGTGTGTGTGTGTGTGTGTGTTTTATGTATGTGTTCATGTGTGTGAGTACATGTGATTTACAAGTGTGTATGCATATGTGAGTGGAGGCCAGAAATCAGAGGAGTGTGTCTTCCTAAAGCACTCTCCACCTTAGGTTTTGAGACAGGGTCTTTCTCTGAACCTCCAGCTTATCAGTTTGGCTGGACTGGCTGACCAGCAAGGCCCAGGGGTCCTTCTGTCTCCATGTCACCGACACTGGGATTGCAGATGCACACCACTGCACCCAGCTTCCACTGCACTGCTAGAGAATCCAAGCTCTGCTCCTCGTACTTACACAGCAAGCAATTTACCAGCAAGTTCTTCTCTCCAGCCCCAGGCTTACTTTTGAGACAAGGAGCTCACCAATTTGACTAGACTGCTGGTCAGCAAGCCCCAGAGGGTCCCCTGCTTCCATTTCTGCCGCTCTAAGAGTACCAACTTGGGTTGCTACACCTGGATTTTTCACGTGCGTGCTGGGGATTGAACTCGGGTCCTTGTGCTTTCACAGCAGGCCCTTTGTTGACTGAGCCATCTCCTCAGCACAGATGCTTAGTATCTCAAAGCTAGAACTAGGTCATAGTAGACCTTACATCTCTATTACCACCAAAGTATCAGAATACTGAGTGAAACTAGGTATGCTGCTGCATGCCTGTAATCCCAGTGTTTGGAGAGGGAAATCATGAGATTGAAGTGCCATGGGTTTGTCTCAAAGTAAAACTCAGAGAGAGAGAGAGAGAGAGAGAGAGAGAGAGAGAGAGAGAGAGAGATTGGCATGGCCACTATCACATCACATATTGACTGAGAGTTTTATGTCTACAAGCACTGGCGGCTTTGCTTCGGGATGGTGAGACTTTGGAGGAGCTTATGAAATTGTCTCCAGAAGAGCTTCTGCTAAGATGGGCCAACTTTCATCTGGAAAATTCAGGCTGGCAGAAAATCAACAACTTCAGTGCTGACATCAAGGTAATGGTGCAAAGAACCAGAGCATTTGGGGAGTTGTGATGACTTGGGAGATTTTATTCCATCTTAACAGAGAAAAAAAGGGTAGGATGTGACCAAACCTTGCTACCTCTTGTGTTTTGAGAAAGAGTCTTGCTGTGTAGCCCAGGCTGTACCTGGGCATCACTGTTGTAGACCAGGCTGGCCTCAAACTTACTGTGATTCTGTTCCTACCTCTTGAGTGTTGGCATACAGACACATGCCACCATAGCTAGGTGATACTTTTTTCTTATTTTTTGTTTGTTTTTGTTTCTGTTGTTTGAAGCAGAGTCTTTTGTGTCCCAGGCTGACCTCAAATCTGCTGTGTACTTGAGGAGGCTGTGAGTTCCATTCTCAGTTTTGTGAGGTGTTCAGGACTAAACCTAGGGTTTCAAGCACGTCAGGCCAGCACTCTAGTAACTGGGTCCAATTTGGTTTTTACGGATATGATTTCTCTTTGTAGCCCAGGTTGGCCTACAGTTCACTGTGTCAGTTAGGTTGACTTCAAATTTGTAATCTTCCTACTTCTGCTTAAGAACACATATAGGCATATGCCAATGTGCCTAGTCAGTGGAAATCTTTTTTTTTTAACTGAAGTCCACTTTGAATATTTTTGAAAATCAAAGAATTGTTGCATTTGTTGATTATGTGAGGCCTTAACCTCAATCCCCCAACAGAATGGGAGAGGGGGAGAAAAGAGCTTGTTTTGTTACATATATTCGGATCCTAAAAAGTTAAATGCTGTTTTACCAACTATGGGTTTCTCAGTTCAGACCTTCTGTCAGTCCCACTTTTAGTTGAATAGATAATTAACTAGCAGATGTTGTCTCCAAAGGTTGATATTTATCATGCTTTGTAATGCTATAATGTGTTTATTTTTTCTTTCCCTATGCTTCCTGGATTTCTGCTCTTCTATTTCATGCTTGTTTAATCTGTCAAGCTTTTTGACTTCAGTAATTCAGTGAAGGTACAGAAACACTTACTAGCTTCATTGTGTTGATGAAATCAATAAATTGTCAAGTCTTAGCAAAATCAAGTTCCAGACAGATGGACTTTTCTTGGTAAAGATCTCTCAAATAAGAAGACAGAGAAGAATGCCATGCATTTTCACAAAATCTGATGAAAATGTCCTCGTCAACACAAGACAGTACGATGCAGTTACTCTGTAAATGTGATCACACTGGTATTTTCAATTCTTTTGTAGGACTCCAAAGCCTATTTCCATCTGCTCAATCAAATTGCACCAAAAGGACAGAAGGAAGGTGAACCACGGATAGAGATCAGCATGTCAGGCTTTAACGTAAGTATAGGTGTTCTTTCAAACTCTACAGTCTTACACTAGTGTTGACTGGGTTTTGTTTTCTTTGCTTTTGTTGAGAAAAGGTCTTGCTATGGAAGCCCTACCTGGCCTAGAACTTGCTATGTAGAGCAGACTGGTGTCAGACTCATAGAGATCCATCTGCCTCTGCCTTCTGAGTGCTGGGATTAAACGCATGTGCTGCCACACCCAAATAATTTTGTGTAAATTCTATCAAAATTTCTATGTAACTTCATGTAGTGGTGTTGACACTTTTAAGAATTTTTTAAAGGATGTGGTACATGTGACTCACAGGAGAGAAAGTATCCTGATTTATTTAGATAATTTTTGAGTTCCATAACTACGGTGGTACTTAATTGTACTCTGACTTATTCACCATGGGTAGGGGTAAAGGGCTAGTTTTTGCATTAAGGGAACTATCTGAGATAGCTTCCTCTCTCTTGAAATACAATCACAGGCATGCTCAGAGATGTGTCACCTAAGTATTTCTAAATTAAACTGACAGTCGAGATGAAGCCTCACACCAGGAAGTCCTCTGTTTGATTTTTCCCTACTACAGTCTTTTGTATCTTGGCCCAAGATCTATCCAGGATTCCCCAACTGGATCTAGAATTTGGTCTAAATTGATCAGCTTGGATTTAAATTTCTACAAAATGTTACCAGTTTCTTTCAGTCTGCCCCCAGAAACCTCTTCCTATCATCCTGCAGCTGTCTTATACTTCTCCAAACACTCCTTCCTTTTTTTGTTTTTATTTTTTCGAGACAGGATTTCTCTTTGTAGGCCTGGCAGTCCTGGAACTAGCTGTGTAGACCAGGCTGGCCTGGAACTCACAGAGATCTGCCACCTGCCTCTGCCTCCCCAGTGCTGAGATTAAAGGTGTGCATCACCGCTGCCCAGCCCAAATATCCTTTTTAACTCCAAGGCTGTGCTTGCTTGTTTTTTTGTTTTTTTTTTTAGGTATGTTCCTTTAAGTAAAAAATAAGGATCTGAAGAGACGGATCAGCTGTTAAGAGTGCTTGCTGCTCTTGCAGAGACCATAGTGATGTTCCCAACACCCACTTTAAGTAGCTCAGAACAACCTGTAACTCCAGATCCAGGAGACCCAAGTGACCTCTTTTGCATGCTCAGGAATATGAGGATGGAAAAGATTTTAAAATTTAAAAAAAAGTTTTTCTGAAACTATCCATATTTAAAGTTAAATCTTCAAGGGAGTGTGGCTGAAAAGGCAACAGCTTTTTTCCCCCTCTGCATTTTGCCATGAGAGAAAATCCCAGTGGAATGCTTTATTCGTTTTTTTAAACGTGTGTTCTGGTGCCATCTCGGGGAATTTAAAGGTACTACATATCCTGTGCCTCCTTGTTTTGCATTCAAAAACAATTTTATAATAAGTACCATGTGTTAGCTGAAAGAAAGTAGAATCCGTTACCCAGCCTATGATTATAGGGGCAATTTATATATATTTTTGGATGGCCTTTAAAAGATATCTTCTTTTACTTCAACAGGAAACAGATGATTTGAAGAGAGCCGAAAGTATGCTTCAACAAGCAGATAAATTAGGTTGCAGACAGTTTGTTACCCCTGCTGATGTTGTCAGTGGAAACCCCAAACTGAACTTAGCCTTCGTAGCTAACCTCTTTAATAAATACCCAGCACTCACTAAACCTGAAAACCAGGACATTGACTGGACTCTACTAGAAGGTAACTTAAACGTTTCTGAAATTCTAGTGTGCAGTCTGTGGCATAAAAACACAGAGGCCACAATGATATGATTCCAACCCAGTGAGTTGCTTTATCCCATTTGGCTTTTGCAAGAATCTGCTAAAAGTAGATGCAGTGCTGAGTGAGAACTGGAAACTGCTGGATGGAGATGGTGATGGAAACAAAATTTGCAAATAAAATAGTCGAGTTGGGGAATGTGGCTCACTGCCAGAGCTCCTGCCTAGCACAGCCAAGACTAAAACAGAAAATAAAAATCCAGGGTCCTATCATGAGACCTGTTAGTAAACAAATGTTTTGTTTCAATGTTTAGTTTTTTTGCAGGGGGGGTGGATAAGGCAGGTTTTGTTTGAGTTTTATTAACCTATTTATTTATTTTGAGAAGAGTCATGTTTTGTTTGAGTCTTTTTAACCTAGCCATCTATTTTGAGTCAAGCATTTCATGAGTCTCAGGCTGGCCTCAAACTCACTATGTAGTAAAAAAAAATGACCCTAAGTTTCCTATCCTCCTCCCTCGAAGTGCTGGGATTACAGGTATCACGTGCAGTTTTAAGGGTGCCGAGGATGAAACCCAGAACTTCATGCACTGTAGGCAAGCCCTCTACAAACTGAGTTCCATTCCCCAGAGCCTTGGAGGTGATTGTGAGCCAGCATCTCACCCTGGAGCTGAAACTGGTCTGAAACGACCTATGTAACTCAAGACTGACCTTGAACTCGTGGCAATCCTCTTTCTTTCAGCCTCATGAGGGCTGAGATTATTGACATGAGCCGCTGTGTCTAACTAGATCATCTTTTTAAACCTCTAACCAAAAAGATACAAATATATGCAGAATTTAACCTATGTTTTGTGATTATATTTCAGTTATCTATAGTCACAGTGGCATACTATCATATGGTAATTATTAGATCAGAATAAAGCACATAAAATAGATGAATGCATACACTTCTCCTATCTGTATATATACACTACATTTAATGAATGAATACGTTTTGTGAATGTTTTAATAGGAGAAACTCGTGAAGAAAGAACCTTCCGTAACTGGATGAACTCCCTTGGTGTTAATCCTCACGTAAACCATCTCTATGCGTAAGCTACCCTGCTGCTATTACGAAGTTATGAATATCATGAACGGATTTAGCATAACTAACGACAGCTCCAAAATTTTTCTGCATGTCTACTTGTAGCAAGTATTTATATTAGAAAGCATTAGTGATTTCCATCATCATTTTCCTAATATACAAGAGCCCAAATTCTTTCTTTGCCTGATCATTGACTGTAAGTGATAGAATATGTAAATGTCTTGATGGTACCTTAGGGAACAGGTACTTTAAGTTTCATAAACAGTCTGCGAATACTTGTAGCAGACTACCCGTGATTCCCTATGGCCTTTGGATTCCTGGCTGGATTGTTCTTGGCTGACATGTAATGGTTTCTATCCTAACTATATTCCCTATCTTCACTATTTTCCTACCATCTGCCATTTACTACCTACTAACTCTAGTATTAATTTTATTCATTGCATTGACATATACACCAAAATCATATTACTTGTTTATCAACACGGTTGTTTATTGTGTCTTTCTGACTTTCATGTAGCACCCTAAGTTTTCATCCAGTGTTCCCAACCTTTATAAGAGTTTTTGCTTATAATAAACATACATCCTTTCATCATAATTATTAATTTTTTTTGGTTTTTCTTTTTTAAGATTTATTTATTATATATAAAGCATTCTGCCTGCATGTATGCCTGAAGGCCAGAAGAGGGCACCAGATCTCATTACAGATGGTTGTGAGCCACCATGTGGTTACTGGGAATTAAACTCCGGACCTTTGGAAGAACAGGCAGTGCTCTTAACCCCTGAGCCATTTCTCCACCCCTTCTTTTGGTTTTTCAAGACAAAGTTTCTCTATGTAGACCAGGCTGGCCTCAAACTCACAGAGATCAGTCTGCCTCTGCCTCCCAAGTATGGGGATTAAAGGCATGCACCACCACTGCCCGCACCTTACTTTTTTTTAAGACAGCACAGGATCTCACTGTGTAGACCTAGCTGACTTGGAACAGCTAGCTCATCTAGAGCAGGCTGCCCTCTCACTCACAGAAATCACCCTGCCTTCCCCTCCCCAGCCTAGGATTAAAGGTGGGCGCTACTTTGCCTAGCTGTACTCACATGCTTTTAAGTGAACTGAATGGTCTTGGCTCCATCTTCAGCATAGACTGATTTAGAAAGCTGTGAGTCATGGGTATTGTGACTATAGATTTTGTTTGATTTGTGTTACTGCTTCTGACCACTGATGAAGGTTGTGTTTTGAATTGTTAGTGACCTGCAAGATGCCCTGGTCATCTTACAGCTATATGAACGAATTAAAGTTCCTGTGGACTGGAGTAAAGTTAACAAGCCTCCGTACCCAAAGCTGGGAGCCAACATGAAAAAGGTACCAAAGCTGGGGTCTGCTTCCTTTCTTCCTTTTGGTTTAAAACCTCGGGACTCTAAGCTGCTTCTTGAGGATAGCAACTACATCTTGGTTTTGAGCAGATACCTACTATGTACAACACACACACACACACACACACACACACACACACACACACACACACACCCCTACCATTACACAGCACACACACACACACACACACACACACACACACACACACACACACACAGAGGGGTGGGAGAGAGAGCTCATGTAGATTGAACAAATGACAATCTTTAACCATTCATTTACTTTTGTACATTTGCAGTTAGAAAACTGCAACTATGCAGTTGAATTAGGGAAGCACCCGGCTAAATTCTCTCTGGTTGGCATTGGAGGACAAGACCTGAACGATGGGAACCCAACCTTGACCTTGGCTGTAGTCTGGCAGCTGATGAGAAGGTACTGTGTACAGTGTTGGCCATTGGAATTTCACAGTGTTACAGGTCTATGAATTCACTCTTAGTGTATTTTCGCAGATTTCAATCAGTCATTTAGTTCATTAAATACACTTCCAAGCTCATTGTACTTAGACACTGAAATAAGTTTTCTTTGAGTGTATGTTTGATCTTCACTGGGAGATACCTCCTTATGAGTTAGATAGAACGGTGGTTGTCTAATCTTTCACAGGAGTCTGACATGTACACTTAAGCCTGACGCAATGTCACTGAAAACAATTGTCAGCTGGGCTGCAGCTCCAGCTCAGTAGTCCAGGATACACTTAGAATGCATGGAGGCTATCCCCAGACCCCCAAAACAAATAAGGAAAACTTATCAGAAGCCCAAAATGGTGTCACATACTTAAAATCTTAACACCTAGGAGTCTGAGGAGGGGAATGGCTAGTTTGAGGCCAGTTTGGGCTACATACTGAGTTCCAGGACATCCTGAACTATAGTGTGGGACCTTGCCCCCAAAGAATAAACCAAAAAATTATCGGAAGAAATAGGAACATGTATATGTATCCATTTGAAAATGAAGGTCTGGGCCAGCAGGATGGCTCAGTGGTTAATGGCACTTGTGCCCAGCTTGACGACCTGAGTTCTGTCCCTGGAAGCCATGTGTGAAAGAACCGAACCATCTCCTGCAAACTGTTCTCTGACTTCCATAAGTGTGCCATGGCATACATGTGTCCACACACACATAATAACTGTAATTTTTGTAAATTTTTTTTGGTTTTTCGAGGCAGGGTTTCTCTGTGGTGTTTTGGTGCCTGTCCTGAATCTCGCTCTGTAGACCAGGCTGGTCTTGAACTCACAGAGATCCACCTGGCTCTGCCTCCCAAGTGCTGGGATTAAAGGCGTGTGCCACCACCGCCCGGCAATTTTTATAAATTTTTAAGAAATTGAAGACTCCTTTATTTTGATATATTTTTAATAATACATTGAGAATTTCATACATGTATACAATGAACTTTAATAATATCCAACCCCACTTGTAGCCCCTCCAACTCCTGCTGGATCTCTCCCATTCCTCTTCCCACTTTCATGCTTTTTGATAAACCACTGAGTCCAATTAATGCTGCCCATATGTACACAGTGTGGGACAATCCATTTGGAGCATGGGAACCTATTAGGAGCCACAACCCATTCTAAAACCTAACTGTCACCCAGGAGCATAAACTGCCAATGAGCCTGTGTGGGTCTTGTGCAGGCAACCACAGCCACTAGAACTTCATGAGGGCAACAGCCCTGTCATGTCCAGATGATGCTGTTTCTCAGCACTCCTTTCTGAACTCTGGCCCTTACACTCTTCCCAACCCCTTGGAAAATGAACATCTCTTAACAACACCAAAAGCATTCCTTATGCCTCCATGCCAGCCAAAGCACGGAGTATGAAGTGTATATGTGTGAGTGAGTATGGCAAGGCTTATACCGTTGTCTCAGATGAAGGTCAGAGAATAACGTTTGGGAATCAGTTTTTGCCATCCACTGTAGGATCTGGGAGTCCAGTTCAGGCTGTCAGACATACATCAACCCGCTTCCCTACTGAGCCATCTGGCCAACCCTCACGATATCATTGTGATAAGAATGTACCTGAGACATCTTGCTGACGCTTGCATTTTTCTTCATTGACTAGACTGTGACTTTCTTCTGCTGATTCTCTTAGATATACCCTTAATGTTCTGGAAGATCTTGGAGAAGGTCAGAAAGCAAATGATGACATCATTGTAAACTGGGTGAACAGAACATTGAGTGAAGCTGGAAAGTCAACTTCCATTCAGAGTTTTAAGGTCAGTATACGGATTATTACACATTATGTTTGCCAGATAATAGCAATTATTTTAAGAACAACCTGTGTTTGTTTGTAAGAATTATTGTTGAGATAATGGCAAGATTTCCCTGTAAGTATTTCCATGCTAATTTGTAAATACTAAAATTCTTTGGTTTGTTCCTCCCTTTTTTTAATAGGACAAGACGATCAGCTCCAGTTTGGCGGTTGTGGATTTAATTGACGCCATCCAGCCAGGCTGCATTAACTATGACCTTGTTAAGAGCGGGAATCTTACAGAAGATGACAAGCACAACAATGCCAAGTAAGGGCCAGCCTGCACTGTCACACAAAGAACACTGGTGTTACAGCAAGGCACTTCCAGTTGAATTCAAGGTCCCCACCCAACCCTGCACAGGGATGGCACCTGAGAAAGAGCTTTTTATTTGAAGGGCTTTATTGAGATCCAGTTCAAAGACATACACTTCACTCATTTAAGTATACGATCTAATGGTTGTGACCATGTTCACACTGTTATATAACCATCACCACAATCAGTTTTAGAACATATAACAAATGATACCAAACCTTTCTGAGCATCATAGTCACTGTCACCACCCTCTTCTTCCAAGCACCCGAGCTTCAAGCTCTGTATTTGTCTATTCTTAACTGATTTATCTCTCTATAATTTAACACCAACTATATATCCCTCGTACCACCATCTCCCCTTTGTACCCCTCAACATAACTACCCAAGCCTCTCTCTGTCCTTTAGTGAGAATAAATTTGTGGAGCCAAAATAAGACAATGAAACACTAGATAACCTCTATATGAATGAAATTCTATCATTTGCAACAGCATGAGTGAATATGGAGATGATGATAAACGTCAGACACAAAAGTACAAATATGGTGTGATTGTGTATCGGTGAGGGGAAGCACCATTTTTAACCAATATTGTTATTTATGTGGGGGGTATTTTGCCTGCAGATATGGCTGTGCACCACATGTGTGCCTGTTGCCTGAATAGGCCAGGAGAGTGTACCCTATCCACTGAAAATAAAGTTACAGATTGTTGGGCGCCACCAAGTGGGTACTTGGAGGAATTGAACCTGGGCCCTCTAGAAGAGCAGCCAGTAAGCCATCTCTCTAGGCCATGAGGGAAATATTTTTAAACTTCAAGTTCATCATGAACAAAACAAAAAAAGATGAAGAAAATTTTTATGTTAGAGAGTTCAAAGGTTTAAAGTTATTTTCATAGAAATTACAAGATGGCTTTGCAGGTAAATGCACCTACTGGAATATCTGATAACCTTAGTCTGATTCCCAAGTACCCACATGGTGAAAAGCGTGACTGAGTCCTCTGAGTTGTTCACTAACCTCCATGCACACACTGTGAGCACACATCCCACGAACACATGCACACACAAATAAATAAGATCATTGGAATTTAAATATATGAAAACAAAACGATAAAACCAGACACTGTGGTCCAAGCCCAGAAGTCAAGTACTCAAGAGGCTAAGGCAAGAGAAATGCAGATTCTAGGCTAGCCTAGGCAAAATAGCAAGATTCAATCTCAAAATAGAAAAGCACACAAAAAAGCCTGGAGTGTAGCTGAGTGGTATAGGGCTTGGGACAATTGAATAAGGCACTGGACTCCATCCTTAGACCCCACCACACCCCACTATAAGAACTAGGTATGGTGGGTGTCAGAAAATACAACAGTAACCTCAGACATCTGGAGTCTGGGGCAGGGAGATTAGGATTTCAACAGCAGCCTGGGCTACACAGTGCAACACTGTCAAGAAACAGATAAAAAACAAACAAGCCTAAGAATTTAGCACTGTGTCTGACCTTCAAAACTTTCAACTCTTTCTTTAATGGATTATTGAAACAACTTAATGCAAAACAGTACCAACTTGCAACAAGGCAAAGATGATCCTTACAAGCATGGCTGGCCATATCTTAGAGTGTTTGTCTATACCTTTTATTTTATTGAAACACATTGTCCAATCATGCCTCTCTTACATGCTGTGAATCAAGCACTCTTGCAATATATGCTCAGTCCCAGCACTAGCAGGGCGCTTGCTATCCCTTACCAGAAGCCTGAGCCTTGGAAGTCTCTCACATTCCAGCAACACGCTGGTCTTCTCCACCATCACTTCCATTCTTCACTAAAGACCAAGACTGTGCCCTAGTTTGCTGGGTCACCCGTGATAATTTCATAAATACATGCTGGTAAGCAGTCCTCAGCAGTGCTTTTTAGGACAATGAAGATGCTACTCTGCCAAATTTGGAAACTAGGTACATCATTTCCCTCATCTTTGAAAAGTATTTGTAGTGGCAATGATATATTTTTAATATCCATGAAGATTCCTGTTGCAGTATCTCGGAAATGCTTCCTGGATCATTTGAGGTGTGCTCCTGCCTGTTTTCCTAGCTGCACCTGTCAGACTTTCCATCTTACACCTTGTCTGCCCTTGACCCAGTATCTCTCTGTGCAGCATGCAGATCCTATCTCTACCTCTTCTTCAGTATTTGGAGGTACTGGGTGCATTGACCTAAGCACCTGAGTTTTACTTCTGGCACTGAAGGGTTGGGAACTAACACACACCAGTCCCTCAGTTCCATCCCCAGCACCACATTCACAAAAGAAAAGTATCTGTTATCTCATTACACTGCACAGAGAATTTCATAATTGATTGTGCAGTCATCCTGCACAATCACATTTCATTTTCCATGAAGTCACTGCTTCAAGCTTTGGTTTCCACTTCATATTTGGAAGAAATTAATAAATAAACTCCAAAATAGTAAATTGTAAAAATTTAGTGTAATGTGGGGCTGGAGAGATGGAGAATCAGCAGCTAAGAGCACTGGTTGCTCTTACAGAGGACCTGGGTTCAGTTCCCGGCACCCACATGGTGGCTCACAAACATCTGTAACTCTGCTTCCAGGAGGTCTAATGACTTTTTCTGACCGCTTCAATCTCCAGGAACACATATGGAGCCCATTCTTGCATGAAGAGAAAACACTCATACACATAAAATAAAATAAATAAATCTCATGTTTAGATTTAGAATAAGTTAAAAATCAATTCCAAACGTAAATAAAACAGAAAACAAATGTGAAATTATTAACTGGTACTTTCTGTTTTCTGAAACAACGTCTCACTGTGTAGTTCTGGCTGCTTTGAAACTTACAGTGACCCTTCGGCCTCAACCTCTGCCTCCAGAGTGCTAGGGCTGTAGAAGGATAAGCATGTGCCACCATGCACAGTTCTGTGATGTGTACTTTCCATACAGGAAATTTGCATCCCAATCACCAGCTTATATAGGAGGAAATAGATGGTGTCCTTGGGGCTGGAGATATGGGTCAGTGTTTAAAAACACTGGCTGTTCTTCTAGAGGACGTAAGCTTAGGTCCCAGCACCCACACTGCAGCTCATGACTTCCATAACTCCAGGTAAGGGGGATCCTACACCCTCACCCAGACAGGCATGCAGGCAAAACACCAAAGCACATAAAAATAAATGAATCTTTTTTAAAAACAATTCGAAGGTTCCTTTGACAAAGAAAAGTCTCGTCTTAATTTTTGTCTTCTCAAAATCTAGGTATGCAGTGTCAATGGCTAGAAGAATCGGAGCCAGAGTATATGCTCTTCCCGAAGACCTTGTGGAAGTAAAACCCAAGATGGTCATGACCGTGTTTGCCTGTTTGATGGGCCGGGGGATGAAGAGAGTGTAAAATAACCAATCTGAACAGAACCAAACTTACTCACAGGTGCATGATTAGCAAGTCAGCTATTCCCAGGGGAAGTGCTCATGGCTTAAGGAATTCTTGGTCATTTAAAGGACTTTTTATTTTCATTAACAAGACTAGCTCATCATGACAGCAACTTCGGGGAAAGACTTTTAGTAACAAGCAACTCCTCTTTCCCTTCGAGTGGGATCTGTTCAGCACACCTGAACATGCTCACAGCCGACCACATGCTCTCTCCTCCTAGAATGTTGCCCTTGACATTTCCTGTTGCTGTGTAATATCTCTCTGTATACCGTTTCACTCTTAGGGTGTCCGTCTCTTGAGACTTCTTAGACGGGCACATAGGAACAGTATCAGCTTGCCATTTTGCCTTCCTTGCTCAACCAGTTTTTGCTGGAGAACTGTGGGCAGACACCATGTGGATATGAGTGTCCTTTGCTTACTTTGTAGTGCTGAAAATCTGCTGAAGTAACTGACTGTGCAGAATGGACTAGAAGTTTTCTCATTCTTTTATTCTTAAAATCAGTATCTTTTTACAGTATTCTTTCTACATGATTATTTTTTGTACATTTAAGAATATTTTGATGACAGTCAACAAGTCTGCTGATTTGCTACTTTTTTTAAAGGGGCTTCAAGTCAGTAAAAAAAAAAGCATAAACTATAGGTGGAGGAAAATGGACCCTACAGTTGTATTCCCCCTTACACTCATGCTTAAATCAAATGAAATATTTGGTCTTCAATGAATCAGTTCAAGACATGCTTCTTTGTTTTGGAAACTTTATCACAAAACTGTGTTTCAATCTAAAATACTCTTAAATATGATGCTTTTGAGGAGAGAGTGAGAATTTAGATGGGGATTTGATAAACAAAGTATGCTAAGTGTACAATAGATTTTTTAATGTAACAAGGAGACTTGGTCACGCAAAAGGGAAAGTATGTATGTCAGACTCGATGTTCTCTTCCTTTGTCAAGCTTTTTTTTGCTATAGTTCTCAAGATCATTATGTTAATCTAACTCTGAAAAGTGATGTAATCTGGTAGCAACATAGTAGTCCAAATAAAGGCATTTGCATAATAATTAGTCTCTCAGGTTTTTTATTTTTTTTAAGGTTTGCTTTTATTCCTATTGTATGTTGGGTAGAGGGGTGCCTATGGCCTACAGAGAGGGCATTGGTTCCCCTGGATCTGGAGTTTAAGGCTGTGGCGATCTGCATGATGAGGGTGCTGGCCACCAAACTTGGGTCCTCTGAAAGAGCAGCCTGCCCTCTTAATTGCTGAGCTAATTGTCCAGCTCACTGTTTTGTTTTGAGATAGGTCTCCCTGTGTAGCTCGGGATGGTTTTGGACTTGGGTCTTTCCACTTCAATTTGTTTAGTGCCAGTTTTTCAGGTATGTCTGCCCTGAGTCTCCTCTTGGTGCTTCTGCCCCATAGTGATATGTCAGTGTTGACCTACATTGCCTCTTTGTCTGTTACGTTCTATCTAATCATTTGTATTAGATTTGAGTTTGAGGGCTGAATTAGAGGTATGCAACTAAGGAGAGTACAAATAAATTGTAAGTGTAATGTTTTCCTCTGATTTACCTGATTTCCTTGGGTGAGGGCACATAGGAGAGATCATAACATTCAAAAGGTGCTGGGTTCGATCCCCATTGCCCTATAAAGTATTTTATCCACTGCCACCTTTTCCCTCCCTCTTTGTCTTTCATCTCTAATGTACAGACCTTGAAGTGGGAGAATCTGACTGGCCAGGGATGAGAAATGACTAAGTCAGGCTTTCTTAGCCTCTTTACAGTTGTCACTTGGGGCGGGGGATAATTCCCTCTGAGAGGTGGTAAGACGAGCCATCCTGAGCACTACAGGGCATATAGGAGCATCATGTATCCTCTGTCTACTGGATACTGGATACTGGATACCAAGGCCATGCTTCTGGTTGTGTCCACCAAAAATATCTCTGGCCATAGCCTATTGTCCCCTGGGATAAAAAATGAACCTTAACTGACAAGTACAGGGTTAGGATGCCCTTTTAAGGTTTTGCGTGATTAATAACATGAAGTCCATGTTATTTACCAGATGCAAGAACAGACCACAAAATACAACAAAACCCACTTTGAGAGTTTTATTAAGGGGGGTTGGAAAGATGGGCAAGTGAGCAAGCCTGTCAGAGAGGAAATGTTCAGAAGAAGTGAGGGGATGGGTGGAGTCTGCTTTTAAGGATCACCTTGCCTGTGCGTATAGAGACTTAAGTAGCCATACCAGGAATGTGCATAGATTATGTGGCCAAGCTGCACATGGATTACGTAGGATCCAAGGTCCTGGAGTGACTAAATGTTTTGGCTGAATGCTGACAGTGCATGCACAGTCATGGAACTCCAGAAGTGACTAGGAGGGTGTCGGGAATGATGTCATTCCACCCTTTTGTTCTTATCAAAAGAAAGGGGTTTGGGGTACTGAGTGAACAGGAGTGGGCGTGACAAGTCTCTCAAGACTGCTTCCAGATGACTTGGTGGGTGTCAGTTATTTGGGGAGGGGGGAGCTTTTCCCAAGGTAGCCTGTCGTCCTAAGGTACCTGTTTGTCTTCGCTGCTGTTTGAGCTCTGTGAAATCATCCAGCGCTGCTTGGATCTCACAGTTTGGACCCGACAAGATGCTGGCAAGGCAGAAGATGAAGTTTAGAATTTTTTTTTTTTTAGATCCTGGTACTTGGGAGAAAGGGGAGATGAGGGGGGTTCCCTGAGGGGTCCCAGGATGAGAGAGGGGGTCCCAGGACCAGGGAAAGGTTGAATGATACTTATCTGGAGTGAATCTGACCTGTCCAGGTGGGTCCAAGCTCTCTCTCTCTGGAGCTCAGAAGAATTTTTAAGTTTATGAAAGAGACAAATTTTGGACATATTAAGAAGCACCAAAGGGAAATTTAAAATCCTGAGCTTGTACCTATGATATTATACTCTTTAGTACTCTGTTATCAGAACTGTATTGGTTAGTATTAAAATTATGGAGTCATATAGCAGAGAGAGAAAAAGAAATCTGGAACATGCTTTACTTTTTCCATTATTACCAATTAGGCTTCCCTATCTTCACCTGAGACAAACCTTATTGTGTATCAGGCACCTGTTTCCTTTCATTATGGTTGTATCATTTTAGCATCCAAGAGACACAGGTGATTGATTGCTGAGGGCAGTCAAGAATAATAAATTGTTATATTAAAGTCTGTATTATGAGTCTCCCTTTTGAGTGATATATTGGAATTGTGTAATGAAAGAGGAAGAGTTGGATGTATAAGAACCCATTTTCTTTTGTCTGAGAGAGTTCTGCCAGTGAGAAAGGGACATGCACCATAATCAGTCCATCCACCCAAGGTCCTCTCAAAAAGGGAGGAGAGTCACCCAGTTGGTTTGAATAGAGTGGTGTTCGTTAGTAGCTCAAGAATTAGTGACAGGGAGGAGGAAAAGTGGGAGCCAGAGTCGGGCAGTGGGAGTGGCCTTGTACCAGAGAGGAGGAAAGGGCTGGAGGAGCTGAAGGAACAGTCATTTGAGAAGAGGAAGGAGCAGGAGGTAGGAAGGGGGTGTTCATTAGCGGGGTGTAGAGTAGTAATGAGGGGTTCCTCTGATTCGGGTTGCATAGCTAGGAGCACATGGGCAGGTGAATAGGAAGCAAGGGGAGAGGGTTTGGAGCTAAGATTTTTTTTAAAAGGCTTGGATATAAGATAAGACGTTCCATCTGCCCATTTGCTGACAGAAGTAAGATAGCTCCCTTAAGAATATCGGGGTCCCTAAGAGGGGTGCATGGATGGCACTGTGAAGGGGAAATAGACAAGATCTCCATGAGTAAATTGGGGGTGGGGGAGCAATAGAGGGTAGGGGTGGGAGATGAGAATATAAGGGAACAGGATGGTCGAGCTGGATAGGGGATGGAGCGGGAGAGCAATGAAAGAGATATCTTGATAGAGGGAGACATTATGGGGTAAGGGAGAAACCTGGTGCTAGGGAAGTTCCCAGGAATCCACAAGGATGACCCCAGCTTAGACAACTAACAATAGTGGAGAAGGTGCCTGAACTGGCCTACCCTAGTAATCAGATTGGTGAATACCCTAACTGTTACCATAGAGCCTTCATCCAGGAACTGATGGAAGCAGATACAGAGATCCACAGCCAAGCACCAGGCTGAGTCCCGGGAACCAGTTGAAGAGAGAGAAGAGGGATTCTATGAGCAAGGGGCATCAATATCATGATGAGGAAACCTACAGAGACAACCAAACCAAACTAGTGGGAACTCATGAACTTCAGACCAACACCCATGGAGCCTCCACGGGACTGGACTAGGCCCTCTGCATAAGTGAGACAGTTGTGTAGCGTGATCTGCTTAAGGGGCCTCCTGGCAGTAGGATCAGGATCCATCCCTGGTGCATGAGCTGACTTTTTGGAGCCCACTACCTATGGTGGGACACCTTGCACAGAGTGGGTTCCATCACAGTCAGGTCTACATGGTGAAAACCAGTCTTGAAAAACCAAAAAGGTGGGGGGGATGTGAGCGCTATGTAGTCTTAATCCCAAAGATGGGAGGAGAAAGACCACCAACCCAAGTTATCATTGCCAAATTAATTAAAAGCAAACAATTAATTAAAGCAAGCTTTTTTATTTGTGTACACAGGCTGCCTTCCCATAAATTGGAGGTTAAGAGGTCAACATTGGATATGAGGAAGACAAAATTTTTGTAGCTTGGGGTAGGGAGTTTCCAAAAGGGGGATTTGGTGGGCAAAGTAGGTGGGGTTACAGGAACAGAAAAATAAGCATAAAAAGTTAATCATAACAACTTCTTGAAACAAAGACATCATTGCAAGATGGGCATAAAAAGGGAGTTATAACAAGAGATAGTCATTAATAATCTTTCAAAATAAAAGCATGGCTGCCTTTTCCTGGAACAGGCCATATAGAATCATCTGTAGTGAAGGTTACAGGTGAGATATAGCCCAATCCTTGAGAAACAAAGGTTTCATCATAAATAGGAATGAACACAGTTTGTGTTTATTATATGATGATCTTTAAGCCTACGATGGAGTCAGGCTGATTCATCACTAGCCCAGGCTATCCTCACATTTACTATGTAGCCAAGGATGATTGCAAATTTCTGATCTTCCTAACTCTACCCCCTATGTGCTGGGGTTATATTCATGCACCACCATGCTTGATTTTTGCAGAGCTGGGAATCAAACCCAGGACTTCCTGCATACTTGGTAAGCACTCTACCAAATGAACTCTCTCTCTCTCTACAAAAGCTGTTTTTGCATTGACAGAGGAACATCCAGCTTGAACATTGTACTCAATTGTAATTTCTAGCTGGCTATAGACTGCTGTGGAACAATCTCTGTACACTATAAATATGTATTGCTCTCATTGTCAGTAAAAATGCTGATTGGGTAATGGGATAAATCCACAGAGTCTATTTGATGGTCAAATGAATTTGTTTGGGGGTTAACTCACAATCAGAATAAAGGAGTTGGTGGCAGAATCCTTAGGGGTGGGGCACAGTCCAACATGGTTCTCTGGAGAGCTATGCCTTGATCTTGGTACCAGCATCCAAGACCATGAGGTCACAAAGAGAGAGCGTGCATACATATATCCCAGGTCTTAAGAGTCTCTGGCAGCCACATCCAGGGGCAGGTACCTAGCACTTACCTGTTGCCTCACTAGGAGCGGTGCTCCAGGGCATGACACAAACAACCACCCCTACATCTCCCCCTTTTGTCTAAGGAAGAACTTTCTAACCTAACACAAAAGTATATACAATAGGAATAATTATCAAGGAGAAATAAAGAGTAATGACATAAACAAAAGGAACTACAACCAACAAGATCAACATCAAACAAGAGACACATACTAACATCCAGAGAAGTCTGGAGCATAGGAAAATGACATGTTACTGAGATCATTCCAAAAGGTATACTATCCTGAAGAATCTAAATCTAATACTTAATGTGTTCTGGCTAAGATACGAGAAGATTGTAACTGTAACTGTTACTTAAGGAAATTGGAGATGGATGCAAGCAACATTCAGGAGACTTGCGAAAGAAAGTAGACAGAGA